AAGATTACTACTATATAACACATTAGTATCATAAATCCTCCTTTGTGGTAACGTTTGTATTATTATTATGATATGGTTAAATATTTTTCCTTATCTCAGCTATAAGCTCGTTTTTGTGAAGTCATATACAGTCGATTGTTTTTGGGATACCAATCCAAATATTTTCAGAATTATAAAAGTTCGAAGCTCATATGTTCGTAAGAATACAGGAAAATATTTACCAACACTTATGTTAATAAAACCCACAAAAGGAGGATTAAATGCATCAATTTTATGTTAAAATCTGCGCATACAATAGTATTAATATTAAAACTTATTAGCTATCAGTTATTATTTCTCGTTATTAAACTGAATTTTTTATATCTGTAAATTTATATATGTATATATCTGTATCGTAAATATTAATTAATTCTTTGATACCTGTAAAAATAATCTCACTTCTTAAACTTATGCTTACAGCTTACAAATACGTATTTAAGTCTTATTTAACTATTTAATTTTTTATTAAATAATTTTTGCCGATATTAACAATTTTTGGACTGAGTTATTTTTAATAATAAAAAGAATTACATTTCTGTAATTTGTCATAAAATATACTGGAAATTTATTTGTAATAATGGCACAATTATCCATAAAAGTAAAACTAAATTATGTACTATGCTCCATGTTTTTTTAATAAGTATAATAGAATGTTACTTAATAAACTTATACTAAATCATAATCTTATACGTAATTTCTAATATTAAAATAAAAAGTTAAAACTAAATTAACTAATAAAAAGTATTACTACTTTTTCTTCTAATAAATTATTTAGAAACTACTTTTTATTCGCTATTTTCTTTTAATTTCTGTGCATTTAGTGTTAAAAAAATTTTTAATAATCTAATAAAAACATAAGATACATTATAAAATATTCTAAAATAGTAGAGTTCGTACTTTATATCAAAACAAAAAAAAATTTGCAGTTGTATGCATCTATAATTCTTCTGAGCCGCATAATTATATATTACAGGTTTTTATTAAAATAATAATTTTTCAAATTATAATATATTTTTTGTAATAACTCTCTTATAACAAAGCATATTATTAAAAATTAAATAACAAATTGATAATTAAAACATACATTCTAACAACTGTAAGTTCATAATTGTTTTCATAAAAATCTAACAGACTAACAGCTCAGAATTTTTGAGAACAATCTATGATACATATATTTAGATGGAGTCGCACACACTCATACATGCTTTTATATATATATATATATATATATCTTCGATATTTTTATAAATGGACTTATAGAATTGTTAAAACATACTTGTCTTTTCCTATATTCACTTGTTGTTCAATATTAACATTTACTAGATGCCGTTTGTTGATGGAATGATGCATAAAATCCATTCTTATGTCGAGCAACGACATTAGCAGAAATTCGCGAGAAATGTTCTCGAATATACATCTCAGTATATTTTATATGATACTGAGATATTCAAGTTTTCTTACGAAGTACTATTAATCATCTCTGTACAAAATTAAATTAAATGCTTTCATGTTACAATCTTGCGAATATACGACAATACATGTATTATAAGAAAAAAAAATCAATATTTATTCTTCATATAATCAATAACTCCTTTGGAATGTTTTAAAGATGCTGTGCTACAATCGATATTTTCGTTATTAAAAGAATGCTCAACACTTCATTGATGCAGAACGGATTAGTCATATGCTAGATTATTACTATACAGACTTTAGTATATACAGTCTATGTGCTTATCGTTTATCTTTTTTTTTCAGTAAAATTATTAGATATTTTATTTATGACTAATTCTGCACAAATTATTGCGCTGATATATCTATATTCACAGTAAAGCACCTAAAAAATCGTGAATAATAAGTTTTTATCATATAGGTAGATAAAATATGTTATAAATCTATTACAATCTAGACAGCATGCAAAAATCATTTTAAAATCGGGACGTAAAATATCTTTAAAACATCTTTAAAGTTTTTTTCTGATTTTGAACATGCTATCTAGGAAATTGCATACAATTTAAAATTGTAGTGAAAATAATGTTTTACGAAAATTGAACATATCATTTATCAATGATGAGAAATTAAAAAATATTCCGTTCATATCGTTTATACTAATATACTTATCAAATTAAATATATTATGCTAATTTTTAGGATTTAGATATTATGTTATGCATCTAAATCTATCCAATTATTAAATTTCGCATGTTTAGAGCTATATGTACAAAAACTTACTTTTTATACCTATACATTCACGATATCCACCTACAATCCTTGATAAATTGGTTTGTCATATTTTTAAATCACTTTAATTTTCACATTTATTCGTATATTTTTCGATATGACTTTCGTGCGTATGTTCACACGAACTTTCGTACACATGTCGTCAGTAAAGATACGGATTTGTTATTGATGCTGTCAATGATTCAAAGTGTAAAAAAAGATTCGAGCTCACTATACCTCAATGTAAAGTCAATCTTTACATTTTAAAGATATATAAAGTATCTTTTTCATGAATATTAATATCAAAGCTTATTATTTGCAATGTCTAAAAAAGTTCGCTATATATTATTGACAAAACTAATCTGTAATATATCATAAATAGTATGAAATGTAAATATAGCATACTTATTTGAGAGATACATATAATACATATTTCTATTTCTAAGAACTATTACTTGCGTCATATTGTGCAAAATATATGATTACATTGCTATTTTTCAGTAACGTATAGCGTTTCTTTATTAGACTTATTAATTTCTACATCTAATTTATGTCATTTATAAAACAAATCTTGTATTATTTTTATATCGGCAGTGGATACATGCAGTCCATGTGTACACACATTCGTCAGATAATATCAGCAATTATCTATCAACTACAAACTACAATACAATTATTCATCGTCTTGAATTGAGTGATGACCGAGATTATTTACTTTTGCTGAAACAACATTCGCACATAAGATGATGATTAAAATATATATGTCAGAATTAACAATTTGTGGTCCGCCGCGATACTGTACATGGATGTTATAATCTACTGACGACACAGTGCCATGGTGTAAGAATATCTTACACCACGATAGTATGTTAAAACTCATTGTATTTATGAATTTAAAAAATGTAAATTTTATATTAAAAAAAAAACAAAATACTTTTGCTGCTCTGCCTCAGTATTTGACAAAAGTCTCCTTTTTTTAATTTGATCAATCTGATTTTATCTTACCACAAAAACGGAAAGAGCAATCTATTTGTGTGATGGAATTTTTAATAAATTATGTTTGTTTTTGTGGCTCAAAAATGTGTAGCTCAGTTTATATTATCGTAATTTACTTTTGTCAATTGTTGTACAGTTTAATATAGGCTGCAGACCTAAAAATGTTAATTAAAGTGAAACACATACACACGCACACATACATATATATATATATAATAAAATTAACAAATTGGATATGTAACTCAGAAGCATATATAATATGAAATTGGCATCTAAAATGCCTCGTCATGTTATCACCAGAATCCAAATAAAATACATATCGCGCAAATTTAACATATTAAGGTATTTCTCCGAGAAATTGAATTTCTACAAATTTTTTTGAAATTTGAATATTATATTTAAAATAATGCTAATTAAATGATGATGAGGAGAGCCGGCCCCAATGACCTTGACTTTGACATATGTCGTCAAGGTCATGACTCTGAAAGACCTCCAACAAGTTGTAGATGGCTTTCACCTTCGACTTTCTCATTCCTCCCCCTCCTCCCTCCTGCAAAGAGGCGCACAACTTTTATCCCCCCCCCTCTTCCCTGCTTTAGGGACGCACGACTCTCGCCTCCGACTCTCACCTCCCTCTCCCCCCTGCAAATGAACGCGCGACTCCCATAATTGTACTGTTGCACATGAATTTCGACTTTCCATGAGAAGCAACTTTTCATGCGAAACGAGTTCTACCTTATTTCCTTTTTTGCCTAAGAACGTTTGATTTTTGTTATGTTTATCTTATATTTACATGTTCACACAATAACAGAAACATACCTAAGCTGTAGATACATTCTCTGTTTAGTAATTGTAGAATTCTCAGCGAACATGCAGTTGTACGTGTTTCTATGTTTGATTGATAATTTGGAAGAATTAATTTCTTATCTTTGTGAAAAAAATGTCATTAGGCAAATAATTGAGTGTTCGCGATGTAAGGCAGTACTTAATATTGTATGTAAATATGCTTCAAAAACGACGATAACATATGTCAAGGTCAAGATCATCGGACCTGGCTCCCCTCATCATAATTACCAAAATAATTTTATCTATATATGTTAAAATTTCAAAGATCCTAGCGGTGCCGAAATGGAGATATTCACCTTCAAAGTTTCAGCTTTTAATACGTAAACTCCAATATCAAATCTTGCCAAAAGTAACATTTTAATACTTTGCGGCCAAAATCTTCTACAGATTTTTTTTTTAAATAAATATATAATGTAGAAATATTATAGGAATATTATATTATAAAAAAAATAGGAGGGGTCTAGCGGTGCCATTTCTGAATTAGAGTAGTTTAAATTTTTAATTTGATGAAATTCTTCTTCTTGCCGAGTGGCGAGATAGGGACATACCACATTTTAATTGTCTTCAGTGCGGACTAGTGCTAGTGCACATAGATATTTAGGCGTGTGTGTGTGTGCGCCTCAAAAGTTTCTCTCTTCAGCACTCACGGAGAGGCATATTTATAGATTGTACGCGATTAATTTTCTAGCGCGATTATAGCCGGAGAAATACCTTAAAATCAGTTGATAATTTCTGTTATTTTAAATCATTTGGCCAATATCTTATCATATAGATAACAAGCCTATTTACGATTGTCATCTCGGCCAATATTAATTATGTTTTTTACTAATAAAAATTAGATTACATTGTCAAAACATAATACACAAATGAGTAAATGATATTTATGAATTTAAATTTAGATAATGTTAAAACATTAACTAACAAAGACAGTGTATCATCTAGCGACGAAGGATAACATTGCAATAATAAGCGTTGATATACTTAAACTAAAACTATCTGCGGACGCACAGTGAAGATAGTCTTTGTGATAATATGAAGGTGGACGTTCGTTTCCTACAGATTTACACCACTCCTTTCGTTCTTTAAATTCCGCCTAAAAATAAAAGAATAAAACAAATTCGGTTATTAAATTACATTTGGTTATATATCTATTATGTATAACATATTATAATCCATATATTGTTATATAATACACACACACACACACGCACGCACACGCACACGCACACGCACACACACACATATATATATATATATATTCATACCTCACAAATATCTCGGCAGGGTGGACAAATTAGAGCACCTTTATGCAACCAGCCATTCTGCATAATTCTTATAATAATCTCTTGTCCAGCATGATAACAAGCATACGTATAATTGCCGACCTGAAAAAAGACATAATTGTCTCTTAATTTATCCGTACGTAGTTGCATTTTAAGGATTCTTATAAATTATCTATTGCATTGTAAAAAAGATTCACCATAATGTGTAGTCTCCCAGCTTCGCATCTATATAAATAGCAACCGGAGCCCCAATGCTGCCACTGACGTGCTTGTTTGCAAGTTCTCTCTTCCCACATGTCATTAGTATGGTCAAAACACCTCGAATTAGGACCGTATTTTTCTAATGCGAAATTCTTGTCTGGGTCTAAAAGAAAAATGTATTTCAAACGAATTCCGTTATTTTTTCGGAATACGCACGTGATGTATGTGTCGCGTAACTTACGCGGATTATTCTCCTCGTAAAGACAATGAGAACCTCTGACTACTATATTCCGCGCTCTCCACGTGAATTCCTGTATGTAAGGACAGTAATCCGCCAGAGATACCGACCCGCCGTAGTATTGTTCCTCTCCCGATGGTACGTGGGGAATTGAATCGAAGTTCTGCAATGGAAGAAATCGTTAACGGAAATTCTTCACATACCGCGAATATTCTCATATTGTCTTCTGATGTAACATCGTCGGTGTGGACATTCTATTTGTCGTTCTATTACGTCTGCTTCAAAATATTTCAATAGATTATTACTAAATATTTCTTACTTGGTATTTCTTGGGCAGTGGCTGCAAATATTTCACCAGATTACACAAGGCCACTGATCTCCGATCGTCCGTACATTCGGTCTGCAACGGATCCTGTTTCACTTTGTTGCAAAAAGGATGTATCGATTTTCCTCTGAAATATTTTAATATTTTCAATAGAATCATAGTAACGTATAGTTCATTTTTGCTGAATATCTCAGTGTACTCACGGTAACGGCTGATATTTGGTAGATATCCATTCCTTGCAGGATTTCATAGCGAAGTTGCATCCCAGATTTTTCCCCCAGCCTAGCTCTTGCGCCATGGAATAGTTGGCGCTGTACCAACCGGTATCTTCCATAAGAGCGAGCGTTATCCTCGAGTAAACTGGATTTTGCGTGTGTGTTCCTGTCATGGCTTCATTCTGAATAAACAAAAAACCAATTTATGATAGCAAACATTGTCCACATTTTTTTATTGAAAAATTTAAACACGATGATATGTAATTCTATAGACAGTGTAAATGTCTATAGACCATACCTTGTGTATCTCATAGAATTAGGATAATAATAAATATAATTTGTTAATACGCGTACTTAAAAATTAAAATAATTAATATCTTTATTTCATTTTATAATAAATGCGGAAGCTTGAAACTGTTGGTACCATTATGTTACACTTGCGGTAAAGAGAATTCAACATTACGTACCTCGAATACGCGTTTCTCCCAATGTGTTAGAGCTGTGCCATCCTCACCCTGGTCTTCCAATTCTGCACCCTCGAGTTCCGAGCAATTGAAGTGCGCTTGAACCTCGGCGCGGACCCGAGGCGTGACTATCATTCGCATCGTCCTCTCCACGTAACCGCCATGCACTTGCCAGCGAGGCCTGACCACGGTTTTGATCGTGTTCTCGCTCCACTGGTGCGTTTGTAACCTGCCCGAAACGAGTATCGAACGTTATTAGCATATGCTGATTTGGTAGTCGAGAGCTACTGCTGTCGCCCAGTATAATAACCTCGCTATGGTATCATATATCATATTGCATTCGCAAATGCATCGTACTCACAATTGAATCGGACTTTATTCATAAACTACTGTCCGAGAAAAGATAGACGATAAATAATAAAACAAAATATAGCAGACATTGAAATTTAAAATTTGTTTCACTACAAAATAGAAGGTTATTGACCTAGCGAGAAATGACTTTAATTGATATTAAAATTTTCATATCAATGTCGATTCGACATCAATTTGATGAGACATCGATCAGATCTCGAAATAATTCAAAATCTGTATGATTGTACTTTAAATCATCAGAAACTGTCAAAATTAATTATTCAGATGTTATTTTCGATTATTTTTTTAAAGTTCTGCTTTTCTACATACATTATGATATTATGCAATCGTTGTCTGTAATATATTTATTATGTGTCAAACGTTAAATATCTCCGTGGCTTTGTGCAAATGTACGATAGATAAATATATAATTACATTACAATATGTATCTCCTTCTCACGCGCACATTTTCTTTCTGTTTCCCATATAAAGTGATTGATGCAATATGTTCGTGAAATGCTGTTTTCGACAATGAGCAGCCCCTCCTCTATCCAATTTCAATATAATGGATGAATTTGCGAATGGTCATTTTACTGGGAACTCATGGGAGCACAAGATGAAAAATATTATTACGCTTACGCGTCAATATAAAATCACTTGTCACCGTATCTCATATGCATAAATTGTTAGAAGCACAGAAATAATGTATAAATACGGTAAAATGCGAGAAATCAAATGTGACGTCGACTGTGAGGAAAAAGCATTAATCTCGTATTATGAAACAACGAATGAAGGGAATTAAAGTCGTGTTGTAAACTTCATTTCTTACTTCGTGCGCACACTTTTAAATCGGAATCCCGTCGGAAAGTTTTTTAACATTAATTCGCGACAAATCGCACGAATTAAAAATATCGGCGATTCGTATTTCATATCGTACGTCAATTTGTTATTATGATTTAAAGTAGTGATTTTTCCAATTTAGGTATACTATTAAATTGTTTGAATAATGCGAACAATTTGCATTTATATAAAATATTTAATTTAAAAATGGATAAAAACCAATGTAAATGTATAATTATAATTAGCATTAAAAGCTCAACAAGTATTATTAATGAAAGCAATAAATATTATTAGTGAAATTATGCTAAACAAGAATACTACCGCAATATTTCATATTAAAATCAACATAACCCTGCAACTATTAGCAGGGCTATGATGATAAATTATTTCTTCTGTAGATAAAGATAAATATAAGTATCTCTATCGCTTCACAAACAATCATATCTGATATCACCGTATCGTGTTATAACATGAACTGAAATCTAAGATTAACAAGGATTCCTCCGCCGCTCTCCCTCTCATCTCTCTCTCTCTCTCTCTCCTTTACCTTTCTGCATGGCATATATACCTTGCTATAGATTAACGTAAACCTTAAATGTAAGAGGATCTCCGTGGAGATATTCAGGTGCAGTAGGCTGAGAACGCGCAAACTCACGAACGGATAGATAGGAGATGCAGAGAAACGTTGGAATTTATAATGGAGAATGTACAGTCTTTGACACGGAGCAAAAATGGACGAAAAGAACAGTTTAGAGAAGTAGCAAAAGACGACGAGGAGTAAAAGGACTGATAAAATTACAGGAGATAGAAGAGGAGAGAAAAAAAATTAAAAAAGATGAAGGGCTGTGACGAACTGGGAACGAGCAGCTATTTCAGAAAATCGCTGTCCCTCAATTTAAGTATTGGGACGTCGTCGGGAAAGAATCATAGAACTCTCTGGCAGAAAGTTCCTGAGAGTTTAAGAAGTCCTGCATACATCACCAAGTGGCTTCATAATTCTGTAATGCTATGCAATGCGATGAGCGATGTGATATTAGGGGAAAAGAGAGAGGAAGTTCTATCTGCGCCAACATTCGAAACGCAAATCAACGCGATAATTCATAAGATCAGTTGAAGAAACCAGACACACTTGGAGAAACGTTCTGAGAACATACTGGAAAATTATACGCCAGAGCGAACGTTAGGAAGAGACTTGTAAAGAACGCCAAAGTCATTCTTAAAATCTATTATAGTCCGGAATACCGGAA